GCTGAGCTGAGCCCTGTTGATGTGAACAAGACCGTGACCTTCACCTGCCACGTGAAGGAGTTTTACCCAGCAAACGTGGCTGTTTCCTGGCTGGAGAACGGGAAGGAGATAAAGGTGGAGAACGTCTCCCGGCTGTCAGAGCTCTCCCGGGGCTTGTTTGAGCTCAGAAGCCAGGTGGAGTTGCAAGCGACGGAGGAGAGAAACGGGTCCTTGGTCATCTGCCGGGTGGTGCACGATGGTCAGGCCCCTGTGTACGACTCAGCCATCCTGTGGATCTCCAACCCAGCCCAGGGGGAACTGAGCAAGGGCTTCCAGATGGACAAGGGTGCGTCAGAGCTGGGTTGGGGTGCCTGCCAGGGTGGCTGTGTGGTGTCACCCCCTGAGGAAGCTCAAAGTCCCAGGAAAGGCTCTCTGCAGAGGGGTTTGAATGCCTGTCCCTGAGTCCTGATCACTCATGTTCTCTGTCCCCACTGCAGGTGCAAACCTTCCATCCAGCCTCATCCTCCTGTGCCTTGGTATCCTGCTGGAGAAGGGCCTCCTCGGYGGGCTCCTCTTCTTCCTCTTCAAGCTCATGGACAAGAAAGCATCAGAGATGTTGCCCTGTCCCACTCCATCTCAGTCCCTGGCTCCYCCAGTCGGGTCCCAGCGCTTGGCCACTGCCAGCAGTGTCATGTGAACCTGGAAATAAAYGAAACAGGATGCAGAGGCTGCCGTRGGCTGCTCCACACCKCYGGTCCCGGRCWCGCAGCTCYRTTCTGCAGCTCGGTGCTGCTCWTCCCCGGTGCTGCACACATGGTGCTCGGTGCCCGGTGCTTGTGCTGCCCACTTTAGTGCTCGGTGCTGCCCATCCCGGTGCCTGGTTCCCGGTTTTCGGTGCCCAGGGCTCAATGCTGCCAGTCCCAGTGCCCRGTACCCAGTGCTGGGTGCTGCCCATGCTGGTGCTCAGTGCCCGGAGCTGCCCATCCCAATGGCCGGTGTCCACTACCCGGTGCTCGGCACTCAGTGCTTGGTACTCGGTACCCAGTGCTCGGTGCTGGCCATCC